TGCTGAATTTCTACTTGAAATTCAGCTCTTACCTTCCCCCTCTTTCTGCAAGAGATGTTCTGGACCAGCTGCACAGGGACAGGATTATTTGTGATCTCCTGTATTTTCATGGTTTTTCATTGCAGAGCCTTTCTCAGCACAGTCACAGAGCAAACCCATGGCTGCAGAGCCCTCGTGTGGAGAATCAGAAGGTTCTGGCAGCAGGGAACCTTTTTGTTATTTATTTATTTATTGCATGGGAGGAACAAGAAGGCCGTCCTATGGATTGCTGTGGCAGAAACAAGTCTGGGCAAAACATCCTGGAACACTGGCCCAGGCTGCCCAGAGAGGTTGTGGAGTCTCCTTCTCTGGAGACATTCAAAACCCGCCTGGACACGTTCCTGTGTGACCTGGTCTGGGTGTTCCTGCTCTGGCAGGGCGGTTGGACTGGACGAGCTTTCGACGTCCCTTCCAACTCCTAATGCTCTGTGATTCTGTGATTGTGCTAACTCCAGCATCTGCTTCATCCAGCTCGAAGCATCAGCAAGCCTTCTTATCCCGAGAGCTGAAACACAGAAGCCAATATTCCTCTCATCTTTGCCTAATTTAATACTCCCAGTTAGGAGGGTTTTGACAGTGCTTCTCCCTTGAGGTTTTGCCACTTGTATTTGAAAATATAACTATGCCATCTGCATTTCACAAACCCAACCAATGTTTCTATCTATAAAGGCAGAAGAAATATGGTATTTCGGTGATTCATTCTAACAGTCCTGGAGTTTCATGTTATCTTCTGAGAGGTGCAACCCTGCCTTAGGAAAAGCTACCTTATTTTTTGAAAAAAGCTTTCTAGAATAAAGGTTATCAGCATGCTTGTATGTACAAGAAAATCATTCTGTGTAGTATGCATCTGGCCAGCATTCAGGGAAGGCAGAACAGAACTGTGGACAAACTCAGAAGCAGGCACATATTTAGCTTTGGCTGGTACTGCCTTTCTCTATCATCTTTTAGCTTTCCAGCTGTACTGTTTCTGTGCATATAAAACATTTTTTGTGAACAACTGGCTATGTGTCAAAGTTAGCAGGGATTTGGTTGACTTTTAACCAGATAGAGAACTTTACACCTTGTCCTTGACTTTAATACCCATGCATGTTTTCATCAGACCTAATCAAACATTGCTGTATGTTACACGTTGCACTTTTACTCTAATCCAACCCAAAACAGTGCTAAAGTAACCTACATAAACAACACCTGCCTGCTGATAACAAAAATAAATGGGTGCACCTGCATTTATGTCAGGAATCAAGGCACTGAAGTTAAGACCTGTAATTAGGTCCTTACATGCTTTTTATGGGGGGAAGAAAAAAGATAGGGAATAGGGCAAATTCTTGATATTGGAATGGCTGAATGTGCCACCATCTTCTGGAGGAACAATTTCTGAGTGCAGAGCCCATAAAAGGTTAAGATCTCCTCTGAGAATATTTAACTTTTCTAGAGATTTTAAACCCATATTTGCAGAAATTGTAAGCCCTTAGCCGAGCTAAGGTTAAAGTGTTTTTAAAGGTTAAGTTTTTAAAAAAGAAAAAAAACGAACAGGACTGGGAATCTGAACCAGATCAGGACTCAGCCCTATCAGCTTTGAAAATCAAGTTAGCATAGGCACCTGCACAACTGCTTTCCTATGCAGTTTAACCATTCCTCTTGCTGTTTGCAGCCACTCTAGATGTAGGGAGCAATGCTATCACAAAAAGAGGGAAAGACGCCACAAGCTAATACATATGGGTCCTATGCCCTCACTAACACTGAAGAACAGTTCATTTTGTGTGAAAAAGTGTGCAGCACCAATATGGACCTCAGAAGTCTGATCATATATCATAGGAGACAGTCTAATCACAGTTCAGGCAAAACAAGGACCCTTGAAGTACAGTGTCAGGAAAAGCACCAAACAGGCACATTTCCAGTGCATGGATCACAAAGTGGACACTTGCCTTAATGAACTGGGGAACTGCCATAAATGAAAGACAGAGTCTGTGACTCACAGCTTATGGACTGTTAAGTATGGGAGCTGAACATGAATGTCCACTGCTGCATGAAGAAGAATCCAGAAACATCAACATCATATTCTTCCCAATGCAGGACTTGAGGATGAAAATTCAGGTGTTATCCTCCCTGTCAAAAACTTTTATATTAATAAATATAAAAGACTTAAACAAATATAAAATAAATATAAAATGCTTTAATAGCCAGAGAAATAATAAAAGGGTGAATATAACCCAAGAAAGTTGCAGAAACTAAGTGCATGTTTTACAGTTTAAATTGCATTACTATTATAGAGGTTTCTTCTCCACAGTAGTATTCTAAGTATTCTTTCTTTTTTCCCAATACTTAGATTTAGACTAACAATGATTCTTGAATTAGACTGTTATCAGTTTTGCTAATAATAAATTCTTGGCTTGTTATGCACATATAAGTCATGCTGCTTCGTTGCCCGTAAACAAGACTTTGAGCACACCACCAGCTATCGCAATGATCCATACTATGTGTACTTATATAAATATATATAGTATGCACACATATATATACACACACATTTACATATGTATACCCATTTTACTAGCAGAAACTCATTCTGATGAGAGTGAGGATCAGTGAGGAGGTACAGGATCAGGCCATCCGTACCATTCACATGTGTGAGAGGACTTAGTGTTTTCTGTCCAAGTTTATCTGTGTGCCTGTCTGTGTGTGTATATTTAGATAAATATGCATGTGTGTGTATATATATGTATGTATGTATGTATATAGGTATAAGAATGCATGGGTGCCTTTTGGAAGTACATGCTTAGCCTTGCTACTGGCTGTATGAGGGAACACAGAGCTGCAGCAGACTCCTATATAGTGAACTATTGGATTCAGCAAACCCAAGCACTTTCCTCTCAGGCCTTCGCACAAGGGATTCACCGCTTCCTTACCTTGTTATAAGGGACTGCAAGTTTTTGGTAGCACCTGTGAGCTCATCAAACTGTTTGAGAACAATCTCTTCAGGGCAAATGTGAACAATGTTACTCTCATCACTGATTTACTTTTTATTTCAGTGTACCTTACTGTGCTGTCTTCTCTCTCAGCAGCCCCAGAGCATGAATAGTTGAGCAGTAAATAAAAAAAGGAACAGTCTCCTTTCACTCTGTAACACGGCCATCAGCACCTGCATTGGCTCTGGCTGGGACAGAGTCAACTTTCCTCATAGCAGCTCCAGTGGTGCTGTGTGTTAATTTGTAACTAAACAGTGGTAATAACACTGCCTGGTAATTTGGATTGAATTCCTTTGCAGAGCTTGGGTCAGTTGTCTTGGCTGTCCCCCCACCCCCCTCAACCTCCTGCCCACCCCCAGCCTACTCTATGGGGGGTCAAAGTGAGAAACAGTGAAGGCTTTGGTGCTGTGCGAACACTGTTCAGCCAAAACACTGGTGCATTACCAGGGCTGTTTTGGACACAAATACAAAACATAATACCATACTAGCTGCTATGAGGAAAGTTAACTCTGTCTCCAGCCAGAGCCAGTACAACGACGTACTTTTGCTTTCTATGAAGCCCTTTGGGCCTAATGACACAACGACTCTGTTTTTCTCTGTTTGTAAGCTGAGTTGGCAAGGACCTGGCACAGAGGAGCGAGTAAGAGCAGGGCAAAGTAGCCTTTCAGCTCTGAGAAACCCTTCACTAATGAGGAGACCTCTCTTTTCATGTGTCCAGGAAGGCAGTACACCAATTTCTGAGCGCAGAGCCATACCACCACACCTTGAAGTTCGCTCCTGAAGCAGTCTCTGAGGATTGTCCATGATACCTATGGAAACAACGGTCTGGGTAAGCCAGAGACCTCATAGCTCCCCATCCCTCCCAGCAAATGTCCCCAGGCCCGCTCTGGAACAGCCTCTCCCTGCACCCCAGATTTCCACCTCCCCACCTCAGAAGCAGCGCTGAAGGAAATGCAGACTCCCACAGCTATTCGGGTTCAGGTAATGCGTTTAAACCGGTTTTTAAACCATTTAAAAGTGACGGCGCTCACACCTGACCGACGGAGCTTTCCCTCCTCCCCTCTCCTACTGAAAAACCGCGCCGTGGGCGGTGCCTTCTCTCGCTCCCGCGCGCACGCGCGTCACGTTGGCGCATGCGCAACGGCGATGCGGCCGCGGGGCAGCAGTTGATGGGGTTCG